ATCAACTAGAATGAAACAACATAAAGAACACGATCTTCATCGAGCTCCTCCTGAGCTTGGTTGCGTCATCTGCACGGACTCATTGGCACCTGCAAGCTGGTTTTAGAAGTATCTGTGAGCCACAGGGACTCAACAATCTCGCACCCTCGCGATCAATACTATTTAAGCTTATGGGTAAGGTAAAGGTATGAGGTGGAGCTGCAGCAAGCGACTAGCATATATGGTGGCTAACATACGCAAAAGAGAGCGAGAAGAGAAGGCAAAGCACGGTCGATAAGAGTATGATCAAGAAGTGATCCTGTAACGACCTACGTCAAGCATAACTCCAACAACCGTGTTCACTTCCCGGACTCCGCCGGAAAGAGACCATCACGGTTACACACGCTGTTGATTCATTTTAATTAAGGTCAATTTCAGTTTTCTACAACCGGACGTTAACAAATTCCCATCTGCCCATAACCGCGGGCACGGCTTTCGAAAGTTCAAATCCCTGCAGGGGTGTCCCAACTTAGCCCATCACAAGCTCTCACGGTCAACGAAGGAATAGACCTTCACCCGAGACGTTTCGATCAGACTCGGTATCCCGGTACAACAAGACATTTCGACAGGGTAAAACTAAACCAGCAACACCGCCCGAATGTGCCGACAAATCCCGATAGGAGCTGCACATATCTCTTTCTCAGGGCACACTCAGATGAGCGCTCCATACAACTAAAACCAAACCTCGAGTTTCCCCGAGGGGGCGCTGCACAGGACTCTAGTTTGGACCAACACTCAGAGGAGCACTGGCTCGGGGGTGGGGGGTAAAATAATGATGACCCTTAGGAGCGCGACTCCCAAGAGAAAAGAAAAGGCTAGGTGGCGAATGGTAAAACCAATGTTGGGCATTGCTGGAAGAGCTTTACTTAAGTCGAACTATCAAGGGGTTCCCATTATAGCCCAACCGCGTAAGGGACGCAAAATCCGGGAACATAACACCGATATGACAGAAACTAGGGCGGCAAGAGTGGAACAAAACACCAGGTATAAGGCCGAGCCTTCCACCCTTTACCAAGTATATAGATGCATTAAGATAACATGGCAATATAATGATATCCCCAACAAGTAAATAAAAGATGTTCCAACAAGGAACGGCCTCCAATCTTCACCTGCAACTAGCAACGCTATAAGAGGGGCTGAGCAAAGCGGTAACATAGCCAATCAATGGTTTGCTAGGACATGGTGGATTAGAGGTTTGACATGGCAATTGGGAGGCTGACAAGCAAAAGGTAGGCATCGTAGCATTGGCATAGTAAAAGAGCGAGCATCTAGCAAAGCAAAGATAGTAGTGATTTCGAGGGTATGATCATCTTGCCTGAGATCCCGCAAGGAAGAAGAACGAGTCCATGAAGAAGACAAACGGAACGTAGACGAACGAATCCTCACAACACGACGTTATCGGAACCAACCCGAAGGAGCAAACATCGGAAAGGAGCAAACAATCATGGTAAACAACCATCACATAATCATGGCATGATGCACAATCAAGTATGATGCATGTCCGGTTTAAGTATGCATGGCATGGCAAAATGCACAAGCAATCCTACAAATTAAGTGGAGCTCAATATGCAACGAGTTGCATATTAACATAACACCACGATAAGTTATTTAGTTTGATCCCGTTTATGTACCCAACAATATTAAATGTTGTTAGCATGGCAAGAGGGTGAAGCAAAGTAAAACTACCTAACTAGTCAAGGTTAAATGAGGCCGGAAGCAACGAAGAACAAGTCCGGAAAAATCCCCATGTGCAATTTAAGGATTTGGTACTGTTCTGCCCTAAACCATGTTTTAGAGTTGATAAACATGCAAAGTGAGGCCACCATGTTAAACTAGGCATTTTTCTACCCCATTTACATATAAAGATTATTAAAATCGGAGTTACGGTTAATTAGTTATGAAATAAATCATTTTAACATGGCATAGGAGCAAATTAATGCAAACAACATTTTTAACATTTCAAACATGGATGAAAGTTGGATATTATTAATCTACACAAAATTCTGAGCAAGTTTCATATATAAAACATTTTAAACCGATGCACGGTTAGTGAGTTATTAGATGCATGAACTAGGAGGACTATTCTGCAAAACTGGCAAACCCTGGACAAATGGGCAAAATCGCTCCGCAGAAAAAAACATGAATCGGGCCGAATCTGGGCAAGCCCAACAGCAGAAGGAAAAAAATGGGGCGCTGGGTGCTCTCTCACCACGGGCTTCGGCCCGGCTGGAGGGGAAGCAGGCCGAGGCGGGGGCGGCGCGCTGGGCCGGATGGAGCTGGCCTGGGAGGCCAAGGCGGCGCTGGGCCTTGGCGCCTGCGACTGGAGAGGAGGCCTGGCGCTGGCTGCGGGAAGCTGGGCCGGCGATGCTGGGCCTTGGAGCTTCGGCCCATGCGGGGAGGAGGCGGAGGCGCTCGTCTCCCTCGATCCCGATGGGATCCTAGGAGGCAAGGGCGGCGGCGCTCGAGGTCAACGGCGAGGCGGCAGCGGCGGCTTGCCGTCGGGGAGGAGCAGAGGAGGCCCCTGAGGTGCGGATCCGGACGGGATCCGTCCGTTTCCGGCCGCGGTGGTGAAGATCCGGCGACGGAGGCAGCGAGGCGGCGAGAGTCGGCGCCGGCGACGAGGCTCGGAGGCGGCGGCGGAGGAAGACTCGGGCGGCGGCGACCGATTGGGCTACGCGGGTCCGATCCGGGCCCGGCGGGCCTGGCGCGGTGGAGGAGAGAGAGGACGGCGGCGCTGACGTGGCACGCCGTGGTTGGTCGCGGCGGGCGGCGCGGACATGTCCGGCGCGGGAAGAAACGTCCGGCGGCGCGGATCTGAGAATTTTTAGGGTTAGGGGAAGAATGAACTGCGAATTTCGGAGGGGGGTGTATATATAGGTATAGAGGGAGCTAGGAGAGTCCAAATGAGGTGCGGTTTTCGGCCACGCGATCGTGATCGAACGCTCTAGATGATGGAGCAGAGTTAGGTGGGTTTTGGGCCAAAATGGAAGGGTGTTGGGCTGCAACACACACGAGGCCTTCTCGGTCCCTCGGTTAACCGTTGGAGTATCAAACGAAGTCCAAATGATACGAAACTTGACAGGCGGTCTACCGGTAGTAAACCAAGGCCGCTTGGCAAGTCTCGGTCCAATCCGGAAATGTTTAATCCCCACACACAAAAGAAAGGTAGAAATGACCACCGGAGGAGAGCGGAACGCCGGAATGCAAAACGGACAACGGGGAAAATGCTCGGATGCATGAGACGAACACGTATGCAAATGAAATGCGCATGATGACATGATATGCAATGCATGACACGCAAGCAATGACAAGGCAACAACAGCGAATAACTGAACGACACCTGGCACATCGGTCTCGGGGCGTTACACCAGTGGTGCAACACCAACTTCCCTGACCTGCTTGAGATGCATGCCTCCTTTCCTCGCTACCGCCATATTAGATGATTATGCGTTGGGGTCCTTGCCTGGACGCTTTGGACCGTTCGCAATAAGCTTGTTATCCAGAAGGTGCCTCTTCGACGTGCTACTGACGCTATCTTCAAAATGTGTGGCTACTTGCAGCTTTGGCGGCCGCTTAGCCGCCCCCCAGGACCGGGACGTCATCAACACTCTCCTCGCCGACCTTCGATCGATGGCCTTCCGCTTGGTGCCTCTGCCCCCCCCCCACCCCCCGAGCCCGACTAGTTGCTCTTGCTCTCTGCACCTCGCGTGTGCATGTTTTTTTCTGGATTTCAGGGCTTGTCGAGCTGTGCCCTCAGCATTAACCCTTGGATTCTCTTTCCTGTTAGACTGTTGTGTGTGCGTGTGTTTGAACCTTGTTGGGTGTTTGGCCTGGGCAGTTGCTTTATAATATAAAGCAGGGCGAAAGCCTTTTTCGGTAGAGTTCTCTAGTTATAAGCAGCTGTGAGTAGAATGGTGAGTCCTAAATAATGTTTTCTAGAGTGTTCCAGCTATAAGTAGAAGAATGTGAAGGCTTCCCAAAGACCTATAAATAGAGGTCCTCACCTCTACTTTGTAAGCAGACTATGTATCCACTACCCTAGAACTTGTTCTTATCTAAGATCTTGGAGTAGATCTTGTGTCCTAGGAGTTTCGGATTGAACTCCTGCTGCCCTATAGGCCTACATTCGCCTCTAGGGCAATATCTAGCGCAACACGTTTTTTTAACACAGTACAGACGCAAGCGCTCGTATACACGCACACCATACCCCTATGAGCACCTCCGAAAGACTGAGCCGGCATATCATCTTGAAATTTATGAAGTCGCCGTAGGCACCTCGTCGTCGACGGGAACGTCTCCTCCCACTGAATGTGCATCGCCGGAAATCCTGAAATAAATCCAGGAATAAATGCGAGCACCAGGGTTTGAACCCTGATGGCCGGGGGATACCATAGTCCCTCTAACCATCCAACCACAGGTTGGTTCGCTCTAGCGCAGCACGTTGAAGCTGTTCCCTTCAACAGTTGTGTTGTACACATTGTAGCAGCAAGGTGGAGTTGCTCCTCCACAACCTTGTGCTGCTTCAGCTATTCCCTCTTATATTATGGGACGGAGGGAGTACATTCTCTATCCTTGAGAGTCTAGCTGCTGCTCCTTGCTGACATGCATTGTTAGCTTTGCATGCCATGATACAACATCTACATAACTGATCATGACAAGATTAATGCTCACAATGTTGACCAACTTATGGGCAAGGAAAATCTCAACCAAAATCTTGGGTAGCCAAATTTTTGTAAGGCAAACTTTGGGCACATACCGAGCACACCCTTAGTTCACCCGGAAATTTTGCTTGCTTTTGTTCTCTACCTGTTTTTCTTGAGTTATTCTCTTTCTGATGCTTGTTTACATTTGATTTGTCACAACATGGTATGGACCTGGACGGCATGACTAGTTTCTCTGACAGCTTTTGTTTACTGTGTTGTATTTTATATTTGTCTGAGTAGCTATTCTGTTTATTGCAGGTTGTGCACTTTCGGTCGTTGGAGAAACCAAAGGATGATGAATTTTGTTTGGAATTGTGAGGGATTTTCCAAACGTGTTTGTCTATTTATTTAAAATGTCAATTAACTCATTATCTCATATTTTTATTTATTTGTTTTCTCATGCGTTAAGGTCAAAGCTTCACACATACGATGATGTTGTTGAGAGAGTTGCCCACCAGCTTGGGTTGGATGATCCAGCGAAAATTCGCCTTACATCCCATAACTGCTATTCACAGCAGCCTAAACCGCAACCCATCAGATATCAGGGTGTGGAGCATTTATTGGACATGCTCGTCCACTATAATCAGGTTAACCCTTTCACTTGTTTTTTTTTCCAGTATGAGCATGTTTTCAGCATAACGATAATGCAGAATGCATATCCATTAAAGATACTTACTGTATGATACAGACGTCTGACATCTTGTATTACGAAGTATTGGATATTCCTTTGCCGGAATTGCAGTTCCTTAAAACCCTTAAAGTTGCATTCCACCATGCTACAAAGGAGGAGGTTTTTTCACTGAAATCATTTGAGATATTGTTTATTTATCCTCGGATGCGAAATGAACTTTCTTATGAGATATTCTTTGTTTAGGTTGTCATTCACAGCATCAGGCTTCCTAAGAACAGCACCATTGCTGATGTGATAATTGACTTGAAAACTAAGGTTATTACTTATACAGCCCTTTTCTGTCCTTTCCTGAATTCTTTTTTAGTTTCTTGTTGCACATTTACAATATTGGAACTGAGATACACCAATTGATTGTTCTTGGATATATTCATAAGGAGTCTTTTGGGCTTTGGGGTGCATGTCTAACTTCCTGAGAGGTAGGTGACATCGGGAGATCACAATCATTCATGATTGGAGGCTGATTTTGTTTAGCAGGAAATTTAGCCAGCTGCATTTTTTGTTGCGGATTCAATTTGGGTGAGATTACTTAATATATGCTCCCTCTATTCCAAAATTTGTGAAGAAGTATATGAATCGAGCATGTACGAATAACATTGTTGTATTTGTCTTGCAAAGTGTTTTATGTCGCCGCTCACTATTATAAGATGTTTTAGATATTTCACTATGTACTAGATACAGACTGAAATGAGTGATGTCTACATACATTCGATTTAGAAAAAGTTAGAACATCGTATAATAGTGAACAGAGGGAGCACTAATTTGTAGGCATATTTTAAATAAAAATTATAGTCAAAATCATGAATTAAAACTGTGAAAAGTAAAAGCACTTAGATTTTGGAACCGTGGGATTATGCAGTTAGATGTGTAAAGACCCCCTACATGTATACCTTTTAGTAGATGTCTCAGTTAAGTCAAGTCTAGTCATACTTGCTTCTTGTTAGGAATATGCAATTTGTATTCCCATGAGGCCATAGGCCGATATATATACATGTACAGGTGTGGAACATATGCAGGAAACCCCTTATACAACGGGATAAATACAAAGGGGTACATGACTTATATTATAACTCTAACACCCCCCTCAAACTCATGGTGGATGAACAACACTGAGTTTGGAGAGATAAAAGCCATGTTGTGCTCTAGTCTGGGCCTTCGTCAGGAAATCCGCCAACTGTAACTCGGAAGGCACATACTGAAGAGCAATAACCTGATCCTGCACACCAGCGCGCACATAGAAAGCATCAACACCAATATGCTTGGTGAGCTCATGCTTCACAGGATCGCGCGCAATGTTGATAGCACCTGTACTGTCAGATAAGAGCAGAGTCGGTGTAGTGACGGAAACACCAAAATCCTGAAGTAACCACCGTAACCAAGTCACCTCTGCCGTCAAAAGAGCCATTGCTCGCAACTCAGCCTCGGCACTCGAACGGGAAACTGCAAGCTGTTTCTTCGTCTTCCAGGCAATGAGAGAACCACCAAGAAAAACACAGTAAGCAGAAAGTGAACGGCGATCTGAAGGATCACTAGCCCACGTAGTATCCGAATAGGCCTGAAGCTGTAAAGAACTGGAGCGAGGAAAGAATAGACGGTGAGAGATCGTGCCTCGAAGATATCGGAGAACACGAAGATGACTATAGTGAACCGAGGTGGGAGCAGAGACAAACTGACTCAGAATATGAACCGGATAAGAGATGTCCGGACGAGTGACAGCTAGATAGACAAGACTGCCAACAAGATGACGATAACGCGTCGGGTCAGGGAGAGGATCACCATCAGTAGCACGGAGGTGAACATTGAGCTCCATAGGAGTCTCAACAACGCGCTCGTCAGTAAGAGCAGCACGAGCAAGAAGATCCTGGATATACTTTTCCTGGGATATAAAAAAGCCATCAGAGGTAGAAGAGACTTCAATCCCAAGAAAGTAGCGAAGAGGTCCAAGATCAGACATAAGAAACTGCTCACTAAGACGGGCCTTTACTAAGGCAATATACTCGGGGTCATCCCCCGTAATGATCATGTCATCAACATAGAGAAGAAGAAGAGTCCGACCACGAGGAGAAAGGTGAATAAACAATGCTGGATCATGAGCACTTGCTGAAAAACCAGCAGCAGTGATCACAGAGGCAAAGCGCTCAAACCAGGCGCGGGGGGCTTGCTTAAGGCCATAGAGAGAGCGACGAAGACGACATACCATGCCATCAGGAACAGAATACCCAGGTGGTGGCTACATGTACACCTCCTCACGCAGCTCACCATTAAGAAAGGCATTCTTAACATCAAGCTGAGATATAGACCAGTGGCGTGCAGAGGCAACGGCAAGAAGTGTACGAACAGTGGTCATATGGGCCACAGGAGCAAAAGTCTCGTCATAATCACGACCGTGCTCCTGCTGAAAACCACGAGCCACAAGACGAGCTTTGTGACGCTCAAGAGAACCATCGGAGCGAGTCTTAACCTTGTAGACCCACTTACAAGTGATCGGACGGACTCCGGGAGGAAGAGAAACAAGATCCCAGGTACCAGTGCGTTCAAGAGCAGCAATCTCCTCTGCCATCGCAAACTGCCATTCAGGATGAACAACAGCCTGACGGTAAGAAGTCGGCTCAAGAACAGCAGCACCAGCGGTGGGAAATCCAAAGCGATCAACAGGCGGACGAGGACGAGAACGCAAGCCATAAGTAGGCTGAGAGGAAGATGACGACTCATCCACAGAGGCATCGACTGGTCGTGGACGACGAGTGTAATGCTGAGGAAAAGATGGAATAATAGAAGGAGGAATCGTCAAGGTAGAATCGGGGGGTGGCGACGAAGAAGTCACCGGAGATGAAGGTGTAGAATCCGGTGACATGTTGGGAGAGGAGACCGTGGAGGAAGTCACCGGAGATGAAGGTGGAGAACCCGGTGACATGCTAGGCGAGGAGACCGGGGAGGATGGTGGCTGCAAATCAACTAGAGGTGGAGAAGGAGAGGAAGTGGAACGGAGAGGTACAGGCTCGACGAGGGTGATAGGTGAGTCAGGAAAAGTGAGGAAAGAGATATCATGCACTGAAAAAGTCGAGGAAGATGGCCGTGGGTAGAAGGGATGAGACTCATCAAAAGTCACGTCTCGAGAGATACGCATCTGACGACCGATAGGATCCCAACAACGATAGCCTTTATGCTCATCACTGTAGCCTAAGAAGACACACTCAACAGACTGAGCGGTCAGTTTGGTGCGTTCGCGAGGGGCAAGAAGAACATAGCAAACACAACCAAACTAATCGGGAGAACGATCAAAAAGTCGCTCGAAAGGAACACCACCCTGTAGAGCAACGGAAGGCTGTATATTGATAAGATAGGTGGATGTGGAGACGACCTCAGCCCAAAAATGAGGCGGGAGAGAGGCAGCAATCATCAATGCACGAGCCGTCTCAAGAAGATGTCGATGCTTTCGCTCAGCCACACCATTCTGAGCATGAGCACCAGGACAAGAGAATTGAGAGAGAGTCCCTTGCTCAGCAAGAACACCACGCAACATCTTAGGGATATACTCGCCAGCGGAGTCAGCACGAAAAACACGAATGGGTGAAGAGAACTGAGTATGAACCATGGTAGCAAAATGCTTATAAATAGACAACACCTCAGAACGAGAAGTCATGAAATAAAGCCATGTGTAACGAGAGAAATCATCTATGAAAATAATATAGTATTTATGACCACCTTTCGAAGCGAAAGGGGCCGGACCCCATACATCAGAATGGACTAAATCGAAAGGACGCTTGGACACTGACTCACTATGTGAATATGGTAACTGAATCTGCTTGCCAAGACGACAACCCTGACACTCTAAAGAGACATCTCCTGAGACAGACCCCAGAAGACCTCGACGAACTAAAGAAGACAACCGAGAACCACACAGATGACCAAGTCGATGATGCCACTGCTGGAAGGAACCAGTAACGGAGGCGACATAAGCGGAAGAACTGGCGATGGTGGTGGCAGCGGAAGGAACATGAAGCTAGTCCAACTCCCAAAGACCTTGAGAATCACGGCGGCGAGGGCCAGCCCCAACCAGAGTGTGCGTGCGACGGTCCTGGACAGAACAAGAGTCAACGTCAAGGATGACGCGACAACCAGAATCAATAAGTTGACCAGCAGAAAACAGATTCATGGTAAGTCGAGGAACATGAGCAACATCAGGAACAGAATAAGGAGTGGTAAGATTGCCTTTACTAGCAACAGAAAGTGGAGTACCATCAGCAGTGAAGACATGAACAGGAGAATCCAGTGATCGAAGAGAGGACAAAGTGGAAGAATGAGAAGACATATGAAAAGAAGCTCCAGAGTCCAGAACCCATGGGGATGTACCTGACTGTGTAGAGGGTGATTGCTCAGTGCGGGAAGCATCAGTCACAGAACTAGCAGTACCCGTTGAGGAAGAACCTGAAGCCGCAAGCAGACGCTTAAGTCTCAGAATATCCTGGTCAGTCAAAGCAATGGCTGAAGCTGTCGAGGTAGATGACGAAGTCTCTGAAGATGATGATCGCGCCTTGCGCAGGTGTTTCTTCTTCGTGTAGCACTGAGACTCAAGATGACCATCATTGTTGCAATAGTCGCAATGTGGACGGGGGCGACCTGAGCCTCCAGAAGGAGTGGGCAAGAGCGGCGGAGCACTCGAGCGAGAAGGGGTCGGTGCAGCAGGTGGCGTAGGAGCACGAGTAGCGAGCACAAAGGGAACCTCCAGCAAACCAGCAGCACGTTAGCGAGTCTCCTCAGCACGAATCTCAGAAAGCGCCTCCATGAGAGAAATACGGCCACGAGCAAACAACTGAGCACGCCGGGGCTCAAACTCCTTACGGAGCCGAGACAGGAACTCATAGACGCGATGAAACTCCAAATTGGCCTGGACAGCCTGGCAACAGGGGCAGGTACGACAACCAGCACTGCGGAGAGAATCAAGCTGGCGCCAGATAGCAGAACTCTGTGCATAGAAGTCATCAACAGTAGAGTCACCCTGCTGAAGAGCATGCTCCTGACGGACCACAGAAAGGTATAAGGCATCACCAGAGGGCTGATAGCGCTGACGAAGACGGGTCCACATCTCAAAGACAGTAGGAAGACCCAGAAACTCAGAAGCAAACTGAGGCAGAACACTAGCAGTGAGAATAGCTGCAGCACGAGCATCATCATCAAGCCACTGGGTGTAAACAGACAGAGCACCATGATACGTCTGAAGAGCCTCGTCATAAGCCAAAACCCTCTCATCATAAGCACGATCAGCAGCCTCATCAGCAAGCTTAGCCGCATCCTTGGCGGCCTGATTAGCATCCGGAGGAAGAACCGGTGGAGTCGGCGGAATAGGAGCCACCGGAGGAACCGGACGTGGCGGACAGCAGACCTCGCCAGAAAGAACACACCAGAGACGGATGCCACGCATGTGAATGCGCATGAAGCCAGTGAACTCAGTGTAGTTAGTACCATCGAAGATCACCGGACAGCGAGGGACAGCAACATAGCCCGATGCAGCAGACATTTTTTTTAGGCAGAGATTAGCGGGAGCAGGAGATTAGGGTCCCGTCGCTTGGGGCCGGCTGGGAACGAGACTGCAGCCTTGTCGAAGCGGTCGTCCGGGAAGTAGATCGTGGAGCCCTCGAACCCCTCGAACTGCGCCACCTCGATGGATATGGAGCGGTCGGCCGGAAGTAGATCAATGGATCGATGGGAAGCGGTCGTACGGGAGCTGCTGACGGGATCGATGGGAAGCGGTCGTACGGGAGCTGCTACGGGATCGATGGATCTGGAGCAGCCTTGTCCACCGTCGGCTCGGGGCGCGGGGATGAAGCGGTCGTCCGGAAGGAGATCGCTCGGGATCGCTCGGGCGGACCTGCTGACGGGAGCTGCTGACGGGATCGCTCGGGCGGACCTGCAGATGAGACGGGACAGCGACGGCCCAAGAGCAGGGTTGACCTGCGGTGGTGAAGGCACCGGAGAGCAGCGCCGGCCAAGAGACGAAGGGCGGCGGCTGCGTGGACGGGAGATTGGATCGAGAGGAGTTGCGCGTGCTAAAAAAAGAAACCCTAAGGCTCTAATACCATGTTAGGAATATGCAACTTGTATTCCCATGAGGCCATAGGCCGATATATATACATGTACAGGTGTGGAACATATGCAGGAAACCCCTTATACAACGGGATAAATACAAAGGGGTACATGACTTATATTATAACTCTAACACTTCTGTCCCTCGAACACATGGTCACGCCTATTTGATTTTTTGGTTCTCACTTAAACCTTTGCCATTTAGCTTCTACAAGAAAGGGAAGCTGCCTTTTATCTTTACGACCATTGCGATCTACTGTAGGTTATACAACTGCAAAGTGGTGTGTTTCTGCGGATGGTTTGTCCAATAAGAACCATTTCTAAACCTTGTACTACTAATCAACAGGTTGATCTATCCAGTCCCACTGCCGAGCTACGCGTGCTAGAGGTCTTTTACCACAAGATCTATAAGGTATGTATTTGAAATCATGTGCTAGTCTTCTATTTCATGTCTTCCTGAAAAAGAGCTTTATTGTTCTTGAGGTTTCTTTAGCCTTCAGAAGTAAAATCTTTGAACTACTAACGAATGCCCTTTGAAAATGTTTCAGCAGTTAAATACTCCCTCTGATCCATATTAATTGACGCAACTTTAGTACAAAGTTGTACTACGGCTGCGGCAATTAATTTGGATCGGTGGGAGTATCATTTTTTCCATATATCATTGTAGCTATTACTAATTATGTTTTTGTAGATCTTTCCACTTCACGAGAAGATAGAGAATATAAATGATCAGTACTGGACGCTACGTGCTGAAGAGGTATGTAAGACTAATGATGTTATATGTCGTACCTCTTTTACATCTTTGATATCATATGTTTTAGTTTTACTTGGTGATTGTCATCTCGTGAGAACTTAGGGCATCTCCAACGCGGTTCCTCAAACAAACCACATCAAATGTCCGCGAACATTCTGCTGGGCAGCGGCCGTCCAACCCAATCCCTCAAACAAGATGGACACTGATCGGAATCATCACTAGTTCGTAGTTTTCTACACCAAGCGGAATCATACAACACAAAGATCCTTAGAAAACAACTAACAATTACTCCTACTCCCTGACGTTGAGGTCGATAGCCCCCGTGCCAGAGCTGCCGACGTGTGCCTCTTTGGCATTGTTGTCGTGCTGCTCCGATGCCTCATTGTCCTCGGTATCGAGCTCCTCGAAGAGCCAGGTCTGCTGTGCTTTGTTGATGCGGAGCTGGCAGGGCTCACAGTCGATCGTGCCAGCACTTTGCACGGCGAGCACCGCCTAGTTCTCGTCGATGACTTCCGGTTTCGTCAGGAGCTCTGCCATGGCTGCGGCATCCGCGCGCTTCACATTCGGTTGATCGACCACCGCAAGAGCGCCTAGTGCCACATGGTGAAGAGGCCGTCCGCCACGTTCCTCGCAGCCTCGATGCCCATCGCCTCCTCCGCTGCTGGCCCCTCTCCGTGGTCCTATACCATCTCCATGCTAGAGCTTGGTTCGGACAGCTTGGAGGTTGGCCCGCCGCAACGCGGGCTTTCCGGTGTTCGTCCACTGTGCGGACCTTCGCTGTGATTTCGGCGCGACACTCCATTGTCAACATCTTGTACCCAGTGATCTTGGTGTGGACCATGGTGACAGCGGCCGTCGGGAATGTTGATGTGGAGGTCGAGGGCTTTGCTACGAGCGGCGCCGCAGACGAGTTGAAATGAGAGAAATGGGATGCTGGCTAGGGTTTGGATGATCTCCGAGCGGCTTTTAATAGCTGGGGTAGGCTTCTTGGGTGGCTTGTCAGCTAATTGGCCATGATTGCTGCTGGCGGAGCGGCGAAGGATCAATGCGGGTAGGCGGGTGGCCGGTGAAGCCGGTGTGAATGTGGAGGCTTCTGGAGTCTGATAGGGTTTTTTGGGGTGGGACCGGGTTGTTGGATGCCGACATGGCGGATGTTCGAATTCCCTCAGAGCTCCCCCTGATTTGGGGCTGGCCTTGGGGATTTTGGACGTGCGGACTGGCCCGGCCCGATTTGGTTAGTCGTGTTGGAGGATTAAAAGTGTCTGGACTGTTCGGCCTGGACATTTTGGTGGTGGTTTGGCGTGCCGTGATGGAGATGCCCTTAAGTTCCAAGTGTCATCCATTCCCTGATTTCTTACTGTACATTTTCCTGTACCTGCTGTGATTAATTTATGTGCTTTTTTTAGTCCTCATATCTATTTATACCCATTTTCATAGGTTCCAGAGGAGGAGAAAAATCCCAGTCAGAATGATCGCTTAATCCATGTTTATCACTTCGCGAAAGATTCTCTTCAGAATCAAGTATTGCACTTTCGTATTAATGACAGCATATATTTATGACATTCTTATCCAATCAGGTGACACCGTTGTTGTGACCAACAGCAGATTCAGAATTTTGGAGATCCTTTTTTTCTTGCCATCCGTGAAGGTGAGACTTTAGCGGAAGTAAAGAGCCGCATACAGAGAAAACTCCAGGTCCCTGATGAAGAATTCTCCAAGGTGATCTTATTTGTTTCTTACTCCCTCCGTTCCTAAATATTTGTCTTTTTAGAGATTTCAAATGGACTACCACATACGGATGTATATAGACATATTTTAGAGTGTAGATTCACTCATTTTGCTCCGTATGTAGTCACTTGTTGAAATCTCTAGAAAGACAAATATTTAGGAACGGAGGGAGTAGATGCGATATAAAAGTTACTTTTTTTCCCTTCATACTGATAGGGTTTTTAATCTTGAAATAATGCTGATATTGTAAATTAAACACAAATGTTAGAACCAGCACCGATTTTGTAGCCAGTTGGTTGTGCTATAGTGAACTGAGAATAGTTTACGTATCTTACTTTACTCTCAAAGTTGATTAGTAATATGCTAAATCAATAAATAAAGCACTGCTGTCTGCTATCATAATAAAACGGGTGGTGATTGGCGCTGAAAGCACTGTAGATCTTAATCTTATAGAAGGGGCTGTGAAGTATTGCTTAAGCTTCATGTCCTGTCTGCATCCTTGGTTTTACTGTCTACCTGGAGTTGCATTGCATCGTAGTATGAATATATAGTACAGCTACTGAACTAATATACCTATTCATGCTTATGTCTTCAGTGGAAATTTGCATTCATATCTATGAATCGGCCAGACTACCTACAAGATTCTGATGTTGTATCTGCTCGTTTCCAGGTAAACTGGTGATTTTGCCCTACATGCTTCTATAGTTCTGCCCATACATTTGTTTTCGGTGGTTTCTGATTTCTTTTGGTTTCTACAGAGGAGAGATGTCTATGGAGCTTGGGAACAATATCTTGGGCTGGAGCATACTGACACTGCACCAAAAAGGGCCTATACAGCCAATCAGGTATGCAGTTGCTTTGCTGGGAAGTGAACTTACCAAACTTTGGATGTCAAATTTTACCTTTAGTCATGCTTGGGCTTAATATGCTGCAGCCATGCTTTGTTATCTCTGTATCGGAGCTTCCCTTGCTATTACAGGATTTTGTGCAAAGCTTTGCATTTTTGTCAAACAGTATTTCTTCTTAATTCTCACTCATGCTTGGGCATAGATATGCTGCCACAGCCCTATACTGTGTAGCCTTGGTACCAGGTCCCGTCCTGAGATTTCAGGGGCCCAGGGCGAAACTATAATCCTGGGCTTTTAATGTAAACATCAATGTATTAATCAATATATGTATGTATGAATTGTTACCAGTAAACACGTAGAGTGCATCCAAAAGCAACATTCATATCAAATAATTTACACGTGCTTGGTACCCATCAAGACTAGCAGTTTCTGTAATGAATTAAATATGTGCTTATGATCACTCACATTGTTATTGTTGATTTGATTCTGGCAACTCATCTACTTGTTTTTTTCCTTTCTCATGGCCGGATGCATACTTTATACTGTAGATGGCATGGCTGCGCTGGAATTTAGAGCAATAAGTAATTGAAAACTGGCGCAAAGCTAAAGTCACAAAGTTAGATTAAACCAGTAAAATCTTACCGATTATCATTTCGAACTCACAGATGATAAATCACAAATTGCAATGATATCTAACCCTAAATATGTAAGAAAGAAATTAGCTAGCTAACTAAAGTAGGAATTAAGGAGTGGGATGATGATGGAGGCAAGACGTGCACTTATGGATCATATCCCAGTTTAGCTAGCAGCTCTTTTATGATAGGCTGGGTATACTCTGTTGGAAACTCGAGTATTCCATTTCCGGTCTCGTAGTGGCAGCACAACCCAGCCGGCTAGCCAATCAACCAGATCTCCGAAAGATAGTGGTAGGTCGATTGGAGTATGAGCTAGACGTGGTATTATTTCAGTCTAGAAGATCGCTAGATGCACACGCATTAGCTTGGTGGCTGGCTCGATCGGGCTTTTGCATTGTGTGCCATGAATGGCTATAGGGAAGGACATACGGCATACCTGAGGGGCTCCTTGGTTTCGGGGGGCCCGGGTGGCCGCCCCCTCCCGTCAGGGCAGGGCCTGCTTAGTAGCAGATCTTCCTTGATTATTGCGTGATTTCGTGCAAGCCTCACCTAATTCATTCTATTTCACAAGGACATGTATCTTATATATCCTTGCTTTTGCTGGTGGTTTTATACACCTGCAGAACCGTCACACGCATGAGAAGCCGGTGAGGATATACAATTAGTACGCCTTAAAACTGTGTTGGTCCCCTGATGAAGGCGTTGATCTGGGAGTGGAAAAGGAGTAGGCTGCAACAGGTGAAAGCAGCAGCATGTTTGGCCATTTGGGTGCTACAGTTTTTGCTCTTGATGCATGGCCATGACGATTTTTCAAGGTTCATCATCGCAAGGGTGCACGATATCAAGTTTCTGTAAATTGGGTGTAAAGGCCACCCTCCTAAGGGTAGATGTTGGATGTTGGTTCATTTTTAGAGCAAAGTCGAGTACATATGATATTGGTAGTGGGCTTGTATACAAGGGTATAGTTTTGCGACTTGATATTGGCATTTGTTGTAATCTGGCGATAATGGGAGACTAATGGACTTTTTCTTGGTTTAAGTAGCTGCAGTAGTAAAAATGTTTTTTGCGGGTGTGCAGTAGTAAAATTGTTAGTCACATTTGACTAACATACTACCTCCATCTGAAAAAATTCGTACATTTTTGGGGATCAAAAGGCAAGACAAAGAGCTGCAGAGGATTGGTGACGGGCTGCTTAAAAGATTATGACCCAATGCTAGCAACGAGTTCAGTCCGTGCGCGCCTGCCCTAGCCTAGGAGCGGGCCTCGTCTTGGATAGACGCAAAAAGTCGTGAGATGGAGGTTGTCTCGCCGTGGAATACACATCAACTGCTCTCCAGATGGACCGGGCTGTTAGGATCTTTTGGATCGCCACGTGGCCAAGCCCTTGCGGTGGCC